GTAGAGTGTAACCAACCAATTTGCCATTACTTACTTCAGCAGGAGACATAGCAGGATCATGGCTGCTATTTTTGGGGAGCAGGGGAAAGGCCCAGCCATCTGTTTTTCTAATAGGTGGTTGTTTTAGTTTGCTTTTGGTTTTGGTTTATTTTCTTTTGTTTTGAAAACTCCCCAGTGGCTGAGGAGCTAAGCAGGATCTAGGGTAGTACCCATGACCCGAAAAGGGGAAGGATGGAAGCACCATGTACTATAGTCACATTCTTATGCTTCCATTTGTCTTTGCCCTACTGACCAGCCTTTTCTCTTTGTGGGAATAGTCTGTGATCTTAGTAGGGGAAAAATGGAGTAGGTGGCACACATACTAGCAATCTAAGCAAAAAGAAGCTTCCACATGGACTGTTTTCATGAGTGAAAATTATCAGAATTGGAATGCATTTTTGACAATCATTTTCCTTTGTGTGAATGCTTTCACAGAAGTATTATGGAAAATGGTTTGTTTAGGGGAGAAATCAGATATTCAAGGTTTCCTTTCAAGAATATTGCCTACCCATTTTATCATCCTAATTTCAAAATAATGATTTTGCTAAGAATAATTAATAATTATCTCCTAGAAATTTAATTATCTTCCCTCCCTATAGCCTCTTCCTTGTTTTGTATCCTAGTCACATGAGTAGATTTTGGGTTTTGATGCTGACACTGTCCTCTCTTTATGTTAGTCACTTATGTCCTTTGACCCAAGCTCATTGGCCTTTTAGCTAAGTGATTGTTCCATCCTTGATTGTATGACCCTCTTGATTTCAAACTTAAGAGCACAATGTGACCAGACTGTCCTTTTCAGAGTCATCTCTTAGTGATTTGCCATTGGACTCGTTTTCAAGTCTCAGATAACTGACACATACTCTTGCTCATGTGAGGTGACACACACCTCTTCCTGATCCTTCCTGTGGCTCCTTCTCCTGAACTTCCTCTGTCTAGCCTGTCCCCAGAGTTTAGTAATCTCACAAAAAAGAATTCCTACTGTGTGCCACTATTCTGTGGGAAATCCTAGGGGAAGAATCAAGTCTCCAAAACCAAGTAGAATTTCTAATTTAGTTATAACCATTTTAATGTGGAATGTTATTCAACATCTCTTAATCTAAGGTCTCCTCACCTCTATAGACTGAGTCCATAATGTTGATCTTCTGTGGTGGTTTTGAAGGTAGATTAGCTAATTTCATATACTAGGTGAAAATAAATAGCTCTCAATCTGCCTCTGGGTTGGAGTCCTCTTTCTTCTCCTCTCTCCTTTGTTCCATTTCTCTTTCTCTGCCTTTCCTCCAGACCCTGTTCAGTGTCATGAATACACAGCCCTCAAATAACTCCTAGACTGGTATGAGAGACAACAATGCAAATCAATGACTTTATAATCTACTTTGTAGATGCCCTAAAGGAAAAAGAAGCAGTAACCAACAAAACTCAGCTTGTCTCCCCACCAGCTGGGCAGGATTTCCTCTCCAAAACATAAAGACCAGCTTGAGTCTGCTTGGGGTCTCCTACTGAGTGTGTCTTCAATAAAAAAAATTTGATTATGTATGAATCATTTATTAGTCTTGCATAAAATACCACTCAGTTTCTCACCCCCAGCAAACATCTTCCCAGCTTATGTGTCCCCTATGTATTTAATGACTTAAATGTTCTTCTGCTCTTTGCCACCTAACCTCTTACCATATGGTTGTTGGTCTCATCCAATGAACATACTTCACTCTGCATCTCATGTCAATAAAGGTCTCTCTACTGACTGCAAAGATTACTATTTCTGTGAGTATAATCCTATAGCCCAAATTATCTATAAAGGAGGAACAAAAAAGGGTTAGAATGCAAAATTATCCTTTTATATATTCTCATATTCTCGCCCTTGGAAATGTAATTAAAAGAAGTTGCTTAACCCCTTATATTACTTTATATAAGAAATGCAGCATGCGATATGACTTGATTTTTGCTCAAAATATAAGGTTTTTCCCAACATGGGCAACAAGAGGAGAGTTGAAAGTTTATCCAATGTACAAAGCTAATCTGGAAAATTAAGAATAATCCTCTGCCCTTTTCCCCCCCTTAATAACAGTGTTTATTCCCAGTGTTAACTGGGAGAGTTACGCCATTTTTTCCATTCAACAGCTTTAAAGATGTAGTTGCTGGTGGAAATTAAGCCATATTCAGTATAGGGACCAGTAAGTTTGTTATTGTGGTCTGAAATGTAAGCTCCTCACCAAATCCTAGTATGAATGATGTCAGGACCTCAGTTTGCTTACCATTCCCCACGTTTCATCGCAGAAGAAGTGAGCTCCCTTAGGTCTCCTGGATCATAGCTGAGGAGCACCTACACCTAATTTCTCAGACAACAGGCAGGGCATAAAGCAATTTATGGTTGTGACTGGTGTCTTAGTTTCCCTTAGAGGGGAAGTACTTGTAATCTTTTGGTGGAAGAAATCTGCCTTTAGAGGAAAGATTTTTATGATTATTTATGATTATTAGCATACTTCACACCCTGGATTATAAGGTGATGAAAAGCAAGTTTGATTCATTTAGGAAAGCCAGCAAAAATAGGATATGATTTTGCCAATTATAATAGTTTTCCAGGCACTTTCATGGAAACTATGTTGTATGGCTCCCACTGCAGCATGGTGAGGTCAGCAGGGCATTCTAAACTGTAGATGAACCAACTGTAGCTCCCCAGAAATGAGGCAGTTTTCCCAAGGTAGCATGTCATATAGGTGGACCTCGAACTTCTCTCTTTAAACTTTGAATGTTCTACTTCTCCCCCTCAACTATAGTATACATATCTGTACACTCCCATTTCTGTTTGTTACATTATTCAACTAATATTATATTATTCAACTAATTTAGTCTTTATAAGACAATCATCCAATAATCTAAACTCAATTATAGTTCTTTCTTCCTAGATTTGTTTTACCCAAAATTAGTTTCTATGTTTATAAACTAGTAAAATTAACTTGGATAAAAATATGCATTTGGGTAAAAATGTATAAACTACTAAGGAGTATTACATATATATATACTAATCAATTATTAAATACTAATTGATTTATAATTTATATAATAAATATATATAATTTATATATAAATATGTATTATATGTAATATAGTATATATAAGTAAATATGTATAAATATAAGTAAGTTATATTTATAATTTATAAATATAAAAATTACCAATAGAAATAAAATATTATCAATTATAAATACTAATTGATTATTCTCTTTGCATTAAGTGCTACCCCAAATAGCTCTGAAATAGCTCTATTACAGAGAAAGATGAAAGAAAAGCACCATAAATCCCTTTGGTTCTTATGCGATATGTAAGATACACCTAATACGTATATTAGGGTCTTTCAGAGAAACAGAACCAATAAGATACATATTATTTATTATAAGGAATTGTCTCACATAATTTTGGAGGCCAAGAAATCCCATGACCTGCCATCTGCAAGATTCGTCATCTGCAGGCTGGAGACCCAGGAAAGCTGGTGGTATAATTCAGTCTGAGTCTAAGGGCCTTAGAACCAGAGAAGCCTGTGATATAAATTCCAGTCCAAGTCTGAAAGCCTAAGAACCCAGGAGTACTGAGGGCAGAAGATCAATGTCCTGATTCAGTCAATCAAGCAAGAAGGATCACATCTTGACTGCCTCCACATATTTGCTCTCTCTCAGGTCTTCAGTGGATTGAATGAAGCCCACCCAACCTGGGGAGGACAAACTGCTTTATGAGTCCACTAATTCAAATGTTAATTTCACCCAGAAACACTCTTACGAACACACACATAAATAATGTTTAGCCAAATTATCTGGACATCTTGCAATGCAATCAGGTCGAAATATAAAATTAGCCGTCACCCTTGGAGAGTCAGTGACTCCATCTAAATGATATGGAGAGAAGAGCACAAAGGGAAGCTAGGGATGAGAGGCTACCATAATGATAACTACATTTAAATTTTTTATTAAAAAATAACAACTTTTATGAATCAAAGAATTTAGTGTTGTGAATTGCCCTGAACAAAAATGAATGCTAATCGGAATTGTCAAGTTGGGTGACAAAGAGGCCCCCTAGTGGTAGGGGCTGCTTCCTAAGAAATAAATCGGCCACAGTGACATTAATGGCCATAGCACATAATATTGAGTAGAAGTTCTCAGATTTAGAGTGGTCAGAAGCACCCGAAGAGTTTGTCAAAATTCAGTTTAGAGTGCATTCTTCGTAATGGTTCTGACTGACTTAGTAGGCACCAACGATCTGTGTTTTAATTCTCTGGATCATTCTGTTAAAGGTGATGTAAAGACCACACTTCAAGAACTTCTGTTACCTAGAGCAGTCAAATCCATAGAGGCAAAAAGTATAATGATGGTTGCCAGTGGCGGGGGAGAGAAGAGTAGGGAGTTCATTTTGAAAGGGCAAAAGTTTCATTTTGGGAAAATGAAAAATTCTAGAGATGGTTGTGGTGATGATTGTATAATAATGTGAATGTACTTAATGCCCCTGAACTGTACACTTCAAAACGGTTAAATGGTAAACAATGTTATGTGTGTTATCACAATAGAAAGGAAAAACAAGAAGTTTGAATGCAAATTATAACTATTCTTTAAAAAGTGTGTCTTTTCTTTCCTACTAAGTGTCGGTAAGGGAAACAGATACATCCAGTTTAAAATATCATAGGTTGTGTTCAATTATGGATTAATATTGTACAGTATTTCATCGTTGCTTTATGACTTAGAAAAAATAATGATCTAAATAAAAAATTTATAGGACTTAAATTTTGCTTTATTAAGATCAAACAGATTTCTTCTTATATATTCATAGTCTGGCCAAGTGAATGGGAGTATTAGAATTAATCACTGAGTCTGCTTTCTTATGATTCTTCTTCTACCTGCTTCTCTAAAATGGATTTGTCAGATTTTGCCTTATCTTGTTTTTGCAATAAAAATGTGTAGTGATACTTACGCTCTTTTCAGGATAGGGTGTGGGCCAACGTGGGGAAGAGCCTGAACTGCATTATTGCCATGGTTGATAGACTGATTGAAAGAGATGGCGGCAATGAAGGCGGTGGTGGTGGCAGCAAAGATGGAGAAAAGGACCCTTCTCTAGTGGACCCCATCATAACTCATCCAAGGGGTAAGGAGTCGTGTTTTCCCAATCACTGACTGAGTAAACAAAATGAGAAAGTCATGATAAAATGAGATAGAAAAAGAGGAGTCAATAGTGCCTTTGATGAAAGTGCTGATAGCATGCTTTTCTACTGCTCTGGCTTGGATGATAGAAGGCTATTTATCAAATTGCATCTCAGTTGTGTTTTCAGAACTGCTTGCAATGCTCATTTTTTTTCTTTTGCTACATAAAAACCTTCTTGAAAGAAGAACAGTGTTTTCTTTTAAAGACTCTGACCAAGTTTAATCTACTTTGACACAGTCCTCCAAATTTTTTTAGGAAGCAAAACAAGCATCTGCTCTTAAAGCTCCTAGAAACTTCTACGGATATCAGGACACAGTATCCACAATGGTTCCTGAAAAGAATGCAGTATGATAAAATGCTTTTTACCTTATTCTTGGGAATATTTTTTGTGAATTATCTCAAAAACATTAAGAAGGTTTGGTTCCATATAAGAAGAATATGTTTGTGTGTATTAGTAAGTCTCAGTTTTCATGGAGACATGTATACACACAACATATACACATGTGGGTGTCTATATGTGTGTATAGGTAGACACACAGATATATAGATACTTTCAAAAGTATGGCTTATTACAAGCTTGACCAGAAAATATGACAACCAAATTTTAACTATGGTTGTGTCCCTATAAATGGCTTTTTCACCCTTTTTGTTGTTGTTGTTGTTAATTTGGTTAATTTTGATGACAAAAACCCAGACAAATATCTGCATTTCCTTACAGTGGTAAGAACTGCTGTTAAAGTAGTCCCAGCCCTTTTGGTAACTTAAGTGTTTGGAGAGAATACCCAGTGTTGCCCTACTCTCTTCTTCTGAAATCTGCATTTCCTGTTACTTTAAGAAAATGAGTCAGAAGGAAATATGAACACTTATAAAATTAAATTTATGTTTTCCCAATTTGTTTTCCTGATTTTTCATTACTCACGTTTTCACCAGGAGTTTAATTATGTGAAACATCAATCTTTCCTTACTTGATTAACAGTAGAACTATTTCTAAATCATGTTTATAAACTGAACTTTTCTTACTATAGATGGTTCTCATCTTCTATAGTACATTCACATGGAAAAGTTTATACCAATATTCATTATGTTTATACCTACTTAGTTTAACTATATATGGGGATCTTCTTTTTTAATAATATCAGTTTTATTAGTTAATGGATCTAATGTCAGTCATATTCTATGTCAGCCCCATAACTTTTACATGAATCAAAGTGAAAGCTTGTCATAACTGATGTCATAAAGAAGTAGTATACTTCAATTTTCTTTAATTGAACATTTATTGACTATCAGCCATAAGCCAGACAATATGCTGAGCTCTGGAAAATGAGGTAAGGAAGCTGAAATCATGTTAGGGGCTTGTTATGTCCATTGATGGGTTTTCAAGGCATAATACTCTTTTAGCAGAAATAAGATGAGAGGTACTGAATTTTGCCATACTTGTTTTGATGTTCCCCAAAAGTTCTCATTGACAAGAGTTCTAGAATATTTGAAATTATATATTTTACCTATATCTTGTATTTTATCAGAAGGTTGTTTCTGTGAGATCAAAATTACATTTTAAAGAGTAAGAATATTTGGTAGGTAATATTTGGTAAGATTAGATGAATCACTTTCATTTGAATGTGAGGCATTGTCTGAATATACTCTCAAACCAGACAGAAGCTGCTGTCAATGTAGAATTCACAGCTAGATGGGATTTGTGGATGGTTAAAGTCAAATTATAGCATAGTGCCCTCTAAGTGATTTTATTTTCAATTTATGATCCATATTTATTTCATGCATACTTTTTTATGTTATCAACATTTTCAGGAGATAAAACACTTGAAAAGTATAAAATGAAATACACACTTTAGTCTAATAATGATTTAATATCATATTGTCAAATAATTTCAAAGTTAAAGCTTTTGTTAACATTTTACATGTTAGACAATTGTGTATAGAGTTCATGTTTTAGAGAGGACATCGGTATATAAAAGAAGATGCATAACATTTACAAATAGATGTTTTACAGATGAATCTGTGCTCAAGTATACTACGAATAGATTATGGATGCTACTGCATAGTTGTAGTGGGATTGATTAGCTTAATCAATCATTTAACAATAATTTACTTTCATTATGTAATAATAATATACTAATAAAACACTTATGGTTGTTTTAGACTTCTTCTTAAAGTTAGGAAAAAAGCATTTTCAGTTTCTATCCTGATTTTTGTCACATAAAGCAATGCAGTAGAGAAATTAACAGTGGTTTTTTTTGTGCTGATATAAAGCAAATGAATAACAAAAAGTCATGTTTTTACCTACACTATCTCGCAAACTATTTCAGATGAAGATATTTGAGATACACATTTGCTAATTATATTGTGCCCCAATTTACCTGTAGTTTTAAATTTTATTAGAAAAATAAGAATTTAGAAAATTTGCAAGGGTAAACAAATAGGACTATGTATGAGTTTTATCTTTTTATTTCAATCAGACAGAAACATTTTTAACATACCTGATGTTTACCTGTACACACACACACACACACACACACACACACACACACACACACAGAGTAACAAAACTGGAGTACACACTGTAAATATAGATGTACTTCTTGATATCCTGCATATCATTATATAATGGTATTTCCTGAGAAGCATTTTCTGGAAATGAGATTACAATGACCGTAAACGAATTCATCAAAAGAGAAACCACTATTTTAGAAATGTAATTATTATAATTTAACATGTAACACATCTTTGAATGTTGGAGTCTTCTACTATATCCCTGATATTTTCCCCAAAGTCAGATCACGAGAAGTGGAATTATTTTATAAGGAAGAGTTATCCCTTCTCTCCCACACGTGCATTTTTACAATTATCAATTCATATCAGTGTAGATTCATGAATATGTGTTATTTTTTAGTTTATAATCTAATAATATTATAATAATATATATTTGAGGCTCAGACTGTTCTGGAGTTATCCATTAGGAGCTCTTTCAGGTTGGTTTTAGTGGCCTTCTAACAGGTTGCCCACCCATAGGCTAGTTACTCCCTTGTTTTCTTTCTTACTTACTCCCTTACTTTTTTTACTCATTCCCCTTCCCTCTGGCACCATGAGGTAGTCTAGGTTCAGCTGTTACTTCTCCTGCCCCAGCCCTAGGTTAAGCCATTTTTTCAAGGAACTCTGATTTCTTCTATTAGAGAATAACACATAGAAACCAACCAATGGGTAGGAACATTTTGATGGTTCTTTTTAGCAATATGTACTCTCACCAGCAGTATCTACAAGCACGCTTTTAACCAGAGTCTTCCCAGCCTTAAATATTTTCCCTATTTTCATGCCACTTTGGGTAAGAAACATTATATTGTAATCTGTAATTTATTGTAATTTAATTTGTATTTTTTTGTAATTTATCTAGTTATTAGTGAAGTTTGACATTATAAAACAATACTATATTTCAAAATATTATTTTTATAATAAAATGTGTTTCTTCAGTAGCTCCAGTTTTATCCCCAGTTCATATCTGGGATGGAAAAACCATTTCTTCTTTTCTTTTTATGATTAATAAATGAATTGATTCAGTGAATAACTGAGTCATCCAGAATTTATATGAATGTATGATGTCATAAATACTGCTATGCATTTGTTACCGCATCACTTATTAGTGATTCTTTCATGTTGTATCAGTTTTATTTTGTTTCTTGCTATATTAAGTTCTGCAATTCTTTTTTCTAGAGAGGGAGAGCAAGAGTGCAAGTGGAGGAGTAGGGGCAGAAGGAGAGAGAGAGAAAGTCTTAAACAGACTCTGTGCCCAGCAGGAGCCCCCCATGGAGCTCAATCTCACAACCCTGACTGAGATTATGACCTGAGCCAATATCAGGAGTCGGGCATTTAGCTCACTAAGATGTCCAGGCACCCCATGTTCTGCAAATATTTTTAGTCAATTTCTGGAATTTTTATTCTCTTCATGTGGTTTTGACTATTATGTTTTATGTTGGGATATATTTTGAAATCTTATAGGGTAAGTCAACCCTATGACAGTCAGTTTTTCTTTCTTCATTATCATCTTTTTTTACATTTTAGCTGTAATTCCTGTTTGTTTTGCTGGCATATATGTATATCATGGTTAAACAGATGGTCTTCTAAATTGTTGCTTCCTTTTTCCATTTTTTAATGTTTATAACCTGCAGATATTTTTTAAGGTGCACATTTTTCGTTTGCAGTATGTTTATTTAATAATATTTTAAATCTGTAGTTTTGAGAGTTTTTCATTTGTTTTAGATCTAGGATTTTACAAAATATCTTCATAAATCTCTTTTCAGGACTAATATAAATAGAGCTGATGGAAATAAAACATTCTCTGCTGTTCTGAACACAAATAGTGGAATACCTTTTCAAACTTACACGGCTTATATATATATTTATATCTTTTCTTAATGAACAAGTTTTTTTCTTTTACTTCCCTATACTCAAGCATAATTAAAACCATCTACTATATGCATGGGACCACTTGCCTTCAATTTCATAATAAACTGAAAACTCAAAGATAAAAATCACTGAATATTAGAATCTTAGATTTTAATGTGCCCTTAAACATTACATAATTAAACCTCCTAAATTGTGTTAAAAAGCTTACCTGTAGTATCTGCTAGTTTTCACCTAGCCTGTGGTACACATCTCCACTGATAGAAAACCATTTTTTTATTTTCTAGAATGGCACACTCCAGATGTTGATCTAAATATGTTTCCTTTAATTTTACCCACTGGCCCAGATCTAATTCTGTGCAACAAACAGAACAAATCTACTTTCCTTTTTCCACATTATAGTCTAACAAATCGGAAAACAACCATTATGTCCTTTTTGCCATTTTCTGGTCATTTTTCAAAGGAACAGCATCAAACCCAGAGTAACAGAGGGGGACCACTTTCCTACTTTTAGAATCTATTTTTCTATT